AGTTGACTCAATACACAAAATAACATGTGGAGGTGAATTGTTTGGTCTCAGCAGGTACACAGTAGGTTGCCCTGGCAGGTGGGGTAGCTTTTTCTCACATAAACACTGTGGCTTGCCTACCTGGGGCAACTTGCATCGTGCCGAGCATAACTAAATGCCCAGGTTTTATGTTTCAATGCAGACGTTTATATCAAAGAAGTAAAAATTAACTTGACAAAGCCCACAATGATGAAAGGAAACTCAAAGAAAGACGGATAACTCATAGGGTTGGTTAATGGTCCTTCAAAAACTCTGGACCTCACAAAAGTTTTGTCAAACTTCACAGACGTCTTGCAGTCTCATTTTCTTTAGCAGTTATCTCAATTTTGTACAAGAAGTAGTAGTAGTAGTGGTAGTTTATTAAAACTCTTGTACCAATTTGACTATAACACAAAACTTCCTCAGCATTCAGGGGTTTCAAAATGTTTTGAAGTAGGCATCTGCAGTGGGAAGAGTAGACTGCTGTGGCCGCAAGGCCCCTCATTGTAGGGGCCTGGGGGCATGACCCCTCGCCCAGAAAATGTTGAAATTTACCATGTAGAGCATTTTCATTGTCACACAATAAAAAATAAAATCAAAAACCATTCAGTGGATAAGGTGAAGAAATTGTGATATTACAGAAGATAAATAAAGAAGGCAGTTCTCCAAGTTTAAGGTGTGTGCATTGTCCCAAAGTTGAGATATTCGTCGAAATGTTCTGTGTAAATTTACAGAGCCTAGTATGGAGCTGCCATGTTAGTGCTCCTCTGTGGTACACCAATATGGTGGCCGGAAAATAGTGTTAACATCTGGAACTTACTTTGGTTATCTGGGACAGTGATTATCTGCACTGAACAAATAAACATTTAAGTAAGCACTTTTCCAAATACAACAACATCTTAAATGGCTAAAAATCACAAGATAAAGACATATTTTTCGACAAATGGGATCAAAGCTTTGTTACACACCACCATAACTTCGAAATTCAAAATGCGCTGGTTTCCAAACAAAGGTCACTATTGAGCTGG